GTATTTACGTGATCTAAAAATTACGCATCATGATTTGTATTTTCGCATTTTTTAAATTCAATATAGAGTTTCATATTCACGTGATTTAAAAGCCTCATTTCGGGATTCATATTCTCTTAATTTAAAATCATGCATGTGATTCATATTTATATATTCATGCAATTTTAAAATTAATCATCGGCATTTATAATCACATGGTTTACAAGTTTAAAAGTTGCACTTTTTTGTCGAATTTTTGTGTTTGTATATATTGTATATATATATATATATATATATATACATTGTATATAAATATATATATATATATATGTCTATACATATATATATATATATACGTATAAACATATATATATAATTTAAATTTGATTAATTATAATTAAGCTATTAAAACTAATATAAAGCAATTTCTAAAACATTTTGTAGAAAAGAGTTTAAATGTATTGACCTGTTGTTCTGGGTAAATACGTAGTAAGTAGCCTTTGTTAGTTTTTTTGCAGCATAATAAACTATTTTCTTTAAATGTGTTTATGAATAAATAAGGCTTTTGATCTAAAAAAATACCACCCTTTGATAAACGTTTTTGAATGAGTTTTTCGAATAGTTTTCGTGCTTTTTGTTTGCTTAAATAATGTATAAAGATCACCGATTTATATGTTTTTGTTTGAGTCAGTAAAAGAATTTTCTATTAAGCAGTTTTAAAAAACTTAATGACTTGGCAAGATTAATTCTAACGATTCTTCACAAAATTGTGCAGATATTCTCCGAAGGTTTAAATGTTTTTAGCAAGTCTTCGTTGCTATCTATTTGGTTTGATTTTAATTGAATTGGTAACATTTTTTTTAATCGCTAACAGTTTAGATGCTTATCAAAATTACTTCTTAATTCCTTCTCAAAACCACTGCAAAATGCTGAAAAGCTTTTGTTGCAAACAGCATTTCCTTGTTCCTTATTTCACGAAAACATTTTTATGCGTGAGTGTTAACATATTGTCACAAGACATTAAAAATACGATAAATAATAAAAATAACAAATTCGAGGCACTATGAAATTTAGAATTCGGGTGATTTCATAAAATAATGTCCATTTTGCTCAGCAAATTCTTCCATTTTCAAATAGTGTTATTAGTTGTTTTAAATTGGCGTTGTACGAATTTAGTTTTTTTTTCTAAAAAAGCAAACAAAACATTTCAGTGTTTAGTGTACTTATTACGAAGAGATGCCTGGAAAGTTGCAACTTTAAGATACCCAGCCACCGTGACCCTGATGTGCGGAACTTAGCTCTGTATGATTATAATTAATGTTTAAGAAAGTAAGTGTGAAAATCGTTGTTTAGAGGTTAAATTACGGTTATATATTGAAAAAGTGGTTTATTTCCTTGCTCATTTTCTTAAAATGTTTCCAGAATAAAAATATCACTAACATTTTATTGAAATTGTATAAACTCTAATCGTCCTGCACAATATCTAGAAAATTTAAATCGAAATCAATATCAATAAAAATTTTTTTTTCTTTACCCTTTTATTTCTGATTGGACACATATATTTACGCGATGTTTCATGCTGATAAAAGAATTCATCGGCACTTTTAACATCGGTTGTTCATTGATGAGTTGATACGATCACAATAGGTGTTACCAGCATATTTAAAAGAATTGTTGTTGTTGTTCATTTACGTCGCACTAGAGCAGCACAATGGGCTATTGGCGACGGCCTGGGAAACATCCCTGAGGATGATCCGAAGACATGTCATCACAATTTTGATCCTCTGCAGAGGGGATGGCACCCCCGCTTTGGTAGCCCGACGACCTACACGCGAGGTCGAGCAGTTTACGGTAGAACAGTTTAACGAGGACCAGTACCGCACACCCTCGGTCCCTACGCAGGCTGATCCAAGTGGTCACCTACCCGCACACTGACCGCAGCCAGTGAGGCTTGACTTCGGTGATCTGCTGGGAGCAGTGTCTTAACGATCAGTCCACTGCGGGACATTTTAAAGAATATGTTGTATAAAAACACATTAAAATTTTAAAAAATATTCCTTAGCTCTAATTATGGAAATTATTACATTTAAAATTGTACAAAGTTAAAAAATATAATTCATAAAATAATACCCTAATTTTCTTTTTATATATTGATCGGATAATCAAGTAATAACAACTAATTTTTAAGATTAGAAGGAGCATGTGTGGCCGAAATATAAAGTTTCGTAATCAGATTCAAAACGAGTGATGATTCTCTGAATAAAATACCTGGTTTTCGACGCATTTGGAATTTTGACTATCAAAGATATCTCCTTTCCCTTAGTAGTCAGATTCCAAATCAGCTAAACATTTCCTCTCGGGATAGTTTTAATCTGGAAAGTAGGTCCTAGTAGTTTAAACAGAAGAGCAGTTGAAAAATTAAACCTTACTGTGAATTTTCGCTTTTGTATATTTCGTCATAGTTCTTTAATTATTTGAGTGAATTAAAACTTTTTTGATTGCAAGTATGAATTTCGTTATCTAAAGCCAAAATTTTCAAGTGATTCATTTTTTTAAAAAAAAGCATTCATTATTTTTTAATTTAAATAAGAATGGAAAAAAAGAAAATGAATGTACGTGAATTTTTACATGAATTTAAACCATGTAATTTAATATAACATTATTTCGAAGTTCTATAATCTGAGTCGGGTCGAAAAAAAGGTTTGTTTAACAAAAAATTATTTTTTGTGCTTGATTTTGTAACTTAAATATTATTTTCTCTTATGAACCCCTTCAGGACTGGTGAATGGAAAAAGAAGCGCTTCCCCAGGACCGATAACATCGAGTTTATAAGTACTATGGAGTACGCGTACGTACTAATACGAGATGTAATAGGAGACTACCGTGTGATCCTGAACCGCTGGAGAAAGTTAGGGTCAGTTCTTATACATCGTCAGCCATAAAGGGAGACTGTGAAAGGGTTAATTAGCATATTTAAAATTATCTTTTCGTACTGTTGAGATTCTTTGTTTGTGAGTAATAATACGTTCATTAAATGAATAATTATGAAGTTATTTTTTCTCCACTATGTGCACTCTACAGGGGCTCAAAATAAAAACAGAACACCTTGAATAACTTTTGATATCATGTTCGAATTTTCACGTATCAATAAGCAGTTTTAATTACTTGAACGGTAGACATTATAAGTGATAATTTATATGTACAGAAAATAATTTAACGAGAAATGTTTTCTCATTGAATAAACCTTTGACGCATTTGGGTTCTTCTCACTACAGGCTGATATAATGTATAGTCAGAATTTACAGCTATCCGAAAAATACAGTCAAATTAATACATTTCAATTCTTTAGTGTTAATTGTACTTTCTGAATTATTCTCAGGAATCATTTAAGTTAACCAAATAATATTTGCACATAATTATAAAATTCAGAGATGGAATGAATTTTTCTTTCATAAAATAATGGTACATATTTATTTAGCATTAAATTTACAAATGATCTGAATTTTTTGAATTGTAAAATATTTAAAGTTTTGCATAGTTAAAACTGTTACATTTTTAATGAACGGAATCAGGTGATGAATTCTGACTGAAAATTTAGAAATATGACATTTTCTGAGTTTTATTGTTGAGAAAGTATTCAACTAAATTAATTATCTACAGTGAAAAAAATATTGTCAAAACTACTAGAATACGGCCAAAATTACCGTATTTCTACCTCCATAGGAATACCATAAATCAAGGTCATTTAATCATAGTTAGCATTAATCATAGTTAGCATTAATTTATACACGGCTTAAATTATCTTGTCAAAATACCATACTTTATGGAAATGATATTTCTGGTAAAAAAAATACATAATTCTGGTTAATGAAATCAAAATATACAGTATTTAAACCATTCATTAATTAATTTTTCCATTCATATGGTAATGGCTTACCGGAAACTCTAGTTTTCAAAATTAAAGTTTTTAATACACATTTTGTAAAAAATACGAAATTGAAAAATAAATTTAACCTTATCAATGGTTTATATGCCATGCTTTAAGAAATCATGATAAAATTATATTAATCAAATTTTATCACATACTATAAAGCCTTATATTAATGCTAATTTTACCTAAGTCATTACCAAAGCTCATCGAGAGAAATTACCGACCATTTTTGAGATTTCATTGAGCCAGAAACACGGTACATCTTACCACATATTGTAGGTAGTTGTAACTATACTTTTTTTTCTCAATGTACATTTAATATCATTGCATATTTATGATCAACCCTTTGAACTGCTAATATTGGTACTTCAGTTGAGAAAATCCGATCATTAAAACTTAAGTCATTCAGGGTTATGTATTTTTTGACATCCTATTTTTTTTTAACGAATGCTAAATCAACTAAGACCTGTGATATTATAGAAATAACAATATTTAAAAGTACCTGGGACAGCAGATTTGTCTTTAAGATCCTTTTTCCATCGGATGCTGATGGTTGAAGAAGTGGCACCAACAATCTCAACTATAGGAGAAGTCGGAGGGGCTACAGAATGATAGTAAGATAGTTATAATCAACTTTGTATATTTACTTTTATTAAACCCTGTTTACGCCAATCACAATATCACATTTCTTCACAATATTAAACAAAACAACACAATTTGAAATTGCAATAAAAATTACACACATACATACTTCTTTTTACAATATAAGTCATGAATACCCAACTATAGAAGTCATCTGAAACTTTGAAATGCAGTAATGTTGCATGATAGCCTTTGTGAAGATTTAATTTTCATGAATTATTATGAATGCTGATGAACTATTTTTACTTAAATCCCAGCTAGGGCAATGTACGTATGTGCGTATTTGCAATAAAAACACACTGCATGTTTTTTCTTGCAAATGCATATGTACGGTTACAACAATTTTAAGTCATTTTTCAAAAGTATTTTATTAGTTTCTTTACAAAAAATGCTTCACTTCAGGAATAAATTTTTTGAAATCATTGTTGAATATTTTTAGAAATGAATTAATACAAATATAAAAGCAATAAATAAACTAATCAAGAAATGTTTCATCAAAATGAAAGATTTTAGCGTATCAACATTAGTAGTTTTTTGTACCCGTGTTTTCAAATTCAATTCTTTAAATGGAAATATTAGAGCTAAAAAGAAAAGATAAATTGCTTTTTGAGGCTGTTTTTTTCTCTCCATTTTTTGCTTCCTATCGTTTAAAAAATCCAGAAAATGATTTGCAGGGTATTCTGGGTAACTCAGATAAAAACACTTTTTAAAGTTTTTTGCTCCCGGAAAAATAAAGTGTTCTTTAAAAAAAGTTTCTGCGACCAAAATGAAAAAAAAGAAAAAGGAGAAATATTTGAGTTTGTTGACATAATAGTACATTTAATATTGAGTTGAAATTACAATATATTTAATTGAATTAGAGCTTATGATGTAAACGCAATTGAAAACTCGTGTTGTAAGCGCTATTTAAATGATTTAGGAGTAACCATAATCAAGAAAGATTACTAGGTTATTGAATAGAACATACTAAGCGGTTATAAAAATTATTTATCTGGTTTTAGTTCCTTTCTGAAGATATATGTATAGTTGCATTATAATAAAATTTTGAAATATCATTATTGCTCTCAAAAAATTTTTTTACTCTCGCTTTGTAAATTTATATTTAAAACGATGCATTATTGATAATATAATTATTAAAAAATTTCCATTACAAATTATTTCGAGAAAAGGGGATCAATGAAATGCAACTTATTACGCGTTATGCAATGGTATTGCAACAATTGAATAAAAATCACAAATGGTAAAGTGGTCAAATTTAAATATGATAGTTTTCAAATTGAACTTTATTCCCAGAAAAAAAATACAATCAACGTTGCTTTAACGTATAATTTAGATTATATGAACTTGATGCAGATTTCAAAATTTAGATTATTCAAAATTTACTTGAAACTGATTTCCATGTATTGTGTGTATAAACTATTTAAAGTAATACCACAATTTAAAACTCTTAAGGAAATTGTAATAAAATTTCATTTCGTAATTTTTATAGCATATCGCTTTTAGAAACGTAAAAAACATACAAACATATTTCAGTTAAAAATGATTAATTTTTGTATTTATATCCTTTTTAATACATATATTAATGGAAACATTTTGTAGGTGATTCTCAATTATCATTCAGTTTAAAATCTTACATTTTCTAAAATAGGTATATAGATTGCATGGAAAGGAATACCATAAAAGAAGTGACATTTAAGTTCAGTTTCTATCGAGTAGTGATTGCAATAACTAATAGTTAATATAATTAAGTCATTTTCAAGACTGTAAAATGAAACTACCACTATAATAAGATATAAAAAATTAAAAAAAAAAAGATTTTCACCATTGTTTGTCGAAACTACCATGTTTCATAGAGAAATGCAACTTGATATTTATTGTTAGGAGTATTGCATAAAAAAAGGATTCGGGCAACTCACGCATCTCATATTGAAACTGATTTTAGAATTAGTAACACATTAAACACTTTTAAACACATTTGTAATTGCTGAAAACAAATTTCGTGCAAGTTATAAATGATAAAATGGAAAATTTATGTTTTACTGACGGACTCATGTAAGATACCATAAACTCTATGTAAATAAACAAACAATGTAATCATATAAGCAATATAAACATTAAAATGAAACACCTAGATTCACAACACCGTGGCAAACAATGTCAAGTACTTTAAGTTTTAAAAATTTTAGCACAGTTCTATACCAATGTCTGCAAAATGTTTATAAATATAACACTTGTGACAATAATTTGTGAGAAGACCCCAATGAAAGCAATTTTTTTTCTTTCAATAACGTAAGAGTTGTTTGTTTTTTTAAAAAAAATACTGTTATACGTATACTTTGATTTTTTTAGAAGAATATATTGCACAGATTTAATTTTGTCACTAAAAAGTGTCATGATACCTGTTTCTAGAGTTTTGCCCGTTATTTTGTCTGTTTTCGGACCCGATCCGGCTGAGTTGTACGCCTTCACGACGATGTCATACATGGTGAAGGGTTGAAGGCCCGTTATGTACGTAGACTGAGGTTCCTTCTCCGAGCTTTCGACTTGTTTGAAGGTGTAACTCTCTTCAGAACCAGAAATCCTGTATCCGATGTAATAGCCCTTGATGTGTCCGTGCTGAGCTTCTTCCGGTGGAGGCTTCATAAAAAATAACCACCAAAATTTAATTTTTTGTTTGTAAACATATTAGATAATTAAATTGAAATAGTAAATTAAACTAAAAAAACAACAAAAGAAACAGGAATGCTATACAAGGACTTTTTTAGGGGACACTGTAAAAACGTATGCTAAAAATTCACGAAAATATCTTCGTTTTCGTCAAAACCCTTCCTGGTATATGCTCCAAGCGAGCATTTCGTTAGTGATGTTATCATTACTTTTCTGAGGAAATGAATTTCGTCAATAGTAAAAAAATGTTTCTTCATTTTATTTCATCAAAAAAACCAAAACAAAAAAAAACCAAGTGCATTTGGCTTTATATAGCTGGGTCAATGTCACCCTAATAACATAAGAGACACAAATAGAGCAGGGAAATAAATTATATCCATGCCGAAAGCGGGATTCAAACCCGGTATCTTCCTTTCTTGTTTTTGATCGTCAATCTCCCACAAAGCACTACGATGAGGTTTCGAGTCAAGGAAGCATTTTCGTCATATATTTTGTCATAAAGTTCCCGTTTCGTCACAAATCACGTGATTTCGTGACGAAATAATTCTCAAAATAAACTAAATATACCTCAAGGATTGCTGAATCGTCGAAAGTAAGAGTTTTATTTCTGAGTGTGTATGCATTTATGCTGGAGCTTTTTTGAGAATAACTGATTAACAAAACAAAAGTGTTGCTAGTGTCCCGAAGTCTCATTTGAAAAAATACCGAATGACAAAATATAGAAAATACAAAATCAGGTATAGTACCAGAAAAGTAATACAATTCATAAAGCAAAAATGAGCAAAGCCTGCAAGTAGCACAAAAACACACCAACCAACGAAGCCTGATATAAATTGAAATAGACAAATATTTCAAATGAGTATTAATATAAATACAGCCGCCAGGTAAAAGGAATAGTTGAGAAATGAGCGGATTAAAATCAGAAATTGTTTAAGAACCAACCAAAATGTAATGATTCAAAGCTGCTATCTGCCAAACAAATTTGATTTGAGGAAACATGAGAAAACTCTTTCATGAAATAAGAATAAAGATCATTCTTTTCAAAGTAGACCTACTTAAAAATTGACTGAAATGGAATCACGTGTCAATTACAGATTAAGGCTCCGTCTATGAATTATATTAAATTTGGATGGGGGGGGGTGAAAGGGTCTATAAAATTGTCTCTGTTTGTAACAAGGGATTGAAGTGTAATAATAAAGACTATAAATATTATTGTTAAAATATTAAAATGAACAGATTAATGTTTTATAACATTCCATATCTTTGTATTTTTATTAATCATTTTTCTCAACAAAATAAGAACAGCTTTAGTCAATATTATTTTCCCAAATGCCCTTAAGACACATAGTTGAAAGCTAACTATTAAAATTTGAAGTATAATTTATTACGTTTGGTTTGCTTTTGAACTGATGAACTTATGTAATATAGCTTGGCATGTGATATGGGAGGTCTAAGGTATGATAAAGTATGACAATTTGCGTCTAATGGGAGTTACACATGTTGAAAAAAAATAAAGAGTAGCATCATTAATCACCGGTCCGTCCCTAAAGCATTCAAATCAATCTATAAGGTGATACTTAATTTTTTGTCTTCAAACATATATAAATGGTCCTTTTTAAGACTTTTTATGTACACAGTTAATAACCATATTCGAAGTTATGCTATTTTGTTTTTTTTCCAGTAAACTTGCATAAATGTAAGTATTTTAGATTAAAGTTAGGTATTTAAGTTCTTATTCATATGAAAATAGAAAACAAAATTTAATACGTTTAAATACTATCAATAAATGTTTTACTGTCAATAAAATTATTTTAAACAACAAAAAAATGATTTTTCAAAAGCTTGATACTGTTGAACAATTAAAAGAAATTCCAGAATTGGAAAGTCTTACAAATAAAATATAAACTAATTTTGATGTTTAATTACACTATTTTTTCTTATGAAGCTATTGTAAATTTTTTCGTTATTGTCATTCGTTTCATACACTTATTAAAACAGATGGACTAACAATAATTTGACCTGGTATCGTATGTTCGACCATGAAAACGACCACAAATAAGGTGGTCTAGCTAAAAAAAAAAATAATAGGTGTTAGTTGGAAAACAATAAAAGAAAGCATAGAGGGGGATATGATGGAGCACGCACACCAAAATAATTTTTGTCCCCATAATGAAACCACAAGACCTTGTACATTTCACAGATAAGTTAATCTATCTCTTTTTAGAAATGCGATTGCTTTATTTATTATATAAATGAACTTTTGGAATGTTTTTTCCTTAAAACATCATATTACTCCCTATTATTCTATTTTATTCATTTCAAAATCCAAATTTATACTTTTAAATCTATTTTACAAGTAAATATAAAGGAATAAAAACACAACTTCAAAACAAAACCATAAAATATTGACTATCTGAAATTACTCATTATTAGTACTTATTTTTTAAGTTGCAGTGCTAAAATATAGTAGGCGAAGTTTTTGGCCACAATGTCGCTTGTTTCCCTCTTCGTTCATTTATGTTTTATATTTTTACTCTCTCTCCAATGTTTTCGAAAGAAAAAACTAATTTCTAAGGATTTTTTTCGGATTGAATCAAATCGAATTTCTAAATTATTTTTTACAACTTTAGCAACTTGTTTCGGGTTAGTTGTGTTTATAACACACATTTTCTGATACAAAAGAGGGATTATGAAAGATTAATACAAACCGATTCCATGAAAAGATCAAAGATTTTTAACGCTCAATTATTAGTTCTTTAATAATACCACCAGGTCTTTTACAATCGAAATCACCGGACCTTTTTAAATGGCAATAACAAGTGAAAAAGATCAAGAATATTATTAGAAGTATTAAAGCTGTTTAACCTTATCATAGGAGGTGCAAAGTTAAATTCAAATCAAAAAGGAGAAAGCGAATTTATTTGAAGAGATGCAGAATTTTTTTTCTCAATTTTTATTTTATTTCTCGATTTTTTGACATGTCTTAATACCTTTCTTAAAATTTTTTTGAAAAGTTTTAAATATTTGCAAAGATATTTATGGCTTTACAAGATGTTATACTCGCTCTTTTAAAGATACGTGTAAAGAAGTTTATAAAGATGCCTTTTTTATAAGTAAAAAATTCTCTGAGATGAATTCTCAAATGTAATATATATTTTATAATAATATACCACCACAGAAATCGTTAATAAAAATGAAAAATAATTAATAAAAATTACTAAATTTTCAACTTACTTTCCAAGTTACTTTTATAGATTGCGCACCCGTTGAATGAACCTGCACATCTTTGGGTGTCCCAGAGGGCGCTGTAAAACAAAGAAAGCTCATAAAAATGTGGTTACATAAAATTAAAGTATAGATAAATTATTTGTACATTATATCTACAATTCATCATATTTTATTAAAACTGCACCATACATTTTTTGTCCATTTCAGAAGAACCTAATTTGTCTTTTTTCATTGCTAGAGGTTTATATAAAAATAATTAGAAATAAATAAGGCAATATGTAAATAGCAATTAAAAAAGTCTGCGTTCACAGCTTTTAAATGACATGTTCTACAAAACTATGTTTATAGGGAAGATTTTTTCACAATTGTACGCGACACGTTATCGACAGGGCGGGCCCGAGGACATCGAGGCAATAACTTTAGGCCCAGCGTCTGAGCTTTTTTATTTTTCCTTTTTTTCTATAATTATTTCGTATTATTTTAGTGAAGTACCTTTTAGTAGGAGAAATTTTTCAGGTTTATACATATTTTCTATAACTTTTTAATAAAATTTCAGACCCTCACACCACTCTAAGTTCCTTTCTTTTGTGATACTGTTCAGAAAAATTAAATGAAATATATATATATAAAAAAATGCAGAATAACAGTTTAGTTTTGTTGATGTATTTTTAGTTTTCTTTCATTTGGACAGTAGTTTAGGTGAGCACCTGAAGATGATGAACTTTATAATTTACACTTTAAAGGGCCCCGTATTAGAATAATTCAAAGGAATAAAGTATGTTACATGGATGAAGCAGAAAGTGCATTGGTTCCGGGCTGAGATTAGAGCTAGGCCCTCAATGATATCCAATAAAGATCTTTTTTTTAAATAATAATTTCAAGAAACTCAATTTAGTTTTGATTAAAAAATATTTTTGGCATTGAATATTCGAAAACTTTGTCTGACATTTTATTTAAATAGATAAACGTAGTAGCCAAGTACTTAAATTGGACATTTAAAGGCAATGTTTTGCAGATTTCCATTCATAGAAATCTAAATTGAAACCTAAGATTATTTTCATTAAATAAAGTGGAGCTCTTTAATGTAAACTTTTTTTAATTTCTAAAGGCCTCGCTTTTTGTTGAACTAGTCCTAGTTATGAATTGCGTTGATTTGCATGGTTCTTTCACGTAGAAAGTTTGCTAAAAATGCACATCAATGACGTTGATTTAAAAACCTGATTTCTACCTTAATTTATGCTGAAAACATCCTTTCTATCAGAAAACATGTTTGGTTTGATTCAAATGGTCAAATGCAAATTGGGTAAGGAGACACGAGACACAAAAAGAAAAAAAAAGCAACATAATTACATCTCCTTTGGATAAATAAGCAGTAATACCGACATATGGATTTAATAACGCAAAACTATTGCATTATAAAAAAAAAATCTTTTTCAAAAAAATTTTCTGATTGTTTTTTAAAATCTTATAAATGCTTTTGAGATTTTTTTTTCTTACATAAAAATATTATTTTTTTTGTTCAACTTATTTAAGTTGAGGATTCTGATCCACATAATTTATAGCATCTATAGTCTGTATATTTATTATAAATGCCTCATAGAAGACTTACAGAAAAAACTCAAAAGAAATATTTTATTCAATCAATTTTTATCACTAGTCTTCTAAAGGGTAAAACAGAGATAGACTCGTGTTGACTATATGCATCAAATCGCTACTTTATAAACAGAACTAATAAAAGTATTTATGAAAAGCAGCTCTGCTTGCATTTACGTACGAGATTTTATGAACTCAAAACAATAAATGGAAGGAAAATAGGGAGAAGTTCAAAATTCCCTCTTGTTTTAATATTGTCCACAATTTTTAAAGTATTATAAATTATTTATTTCAACTACTTGTTTGTAAATAAAAACATTTGTAATATGTAAATTATTAAGGAAATATGAGAAATACGTTTTATTTTAAAATAGGGAACTATTTGAAATAATAATGCCGATTTCGTTATAAAAATTTATCCAAAGCGGGTTCCTTCATTTATTTCATTTAAATATTTTCTTTACAGTTGTTAGGCAATATAGATGCAAAATTGAATTTGTATGAAGTTTTTTCTGTTGTTCATGAAACTCAAAATACTTCTTTAAGCAATGCAGCATGTGGAAAATACTCCGTTATCAAAAACAAAAAAAAAAGTAGTTTAACCAAACAGTCAAGAATCCATAGAAATTTTGGGGAAAAAAAAGTCTGGTTCGATTAACATTGTTCTGAAAGCACCGTAAGAAGTATTTTGAAAGCCAACAGAAGTAATAGTAATAATAATAATGGGAATAAGTATAATAATAAAGATATCTTATTACATGAAGAGGCTTTTTATAAGGATTGGTTTATTTATTTCGAATACCATCATTTCGGAGTAGTTATTAGAAATTCTTATACCTGATCGCTGCATGTAGGAGTTATGTTCGTATTTTTTTCTTTCTTATTTCCTTGGTTCTCATTGGGAAAACATTGTGATCCAATTTAGGATAAATGATAGAAGTAGAGATTTTCTCAGATTATGGGAAAGAGAAACCTAACTATTAATATAATGTCTTATTTATAAAAGAAAAGAGTGAAATAAGCAATTTGTTTCACTGAGCATTGTATGAAATCATTTACGAGTATTTGATTACATTTTTCTAAGATATTTTCGATGCAAGGCCGAGAAAGGGCAGGGGCTACTTGGGCTATAGCTCGAAAAGTTAGGGGAATATGACTTTTTTTTTGTTATATTTTAAAAATTTATATAAAAGCATTCGATATTTTGAGCAATTTTCACAGAATAAAGAAAGAAGTTTGATCATGTTCAAATACATCCCTCAGCGATGATTTGCATGGTAATCTTTCACGGCTTCCTTTTCTCAGTTCTCTAATTTTGTTGTACAATTTCTTTTTCAATTTGAATTCGATTGAAACCTGGTCTTTCAAAAAAAAAGTCTCAAGCTAGTAGACTTTCGAATATGAATCTTAGATCATGTTTAAATACATATAGTTTGTCTACGGTAAGAACTCCCCCCCCCCAGCCACAAAGTCTGAGGCCGCCTGCTACTGTGGAAACAAGAATAGCACATTTCAGGGAGGGTAACTTCTTTAGCCGAAGAAAGTGATTCCCTTTCTCTCGCCGGGCCGAGCCAAAAACCTGTCATAAACAGTGACCGAACTACTTGAAATAGTTATACCTCGTTACTATAGTTACCGCCACCGGTCCAGACGAATGGCTAGGGGAGTTCTTACTTTAGACAAACTATAATTATCCGTATATTTTTTGTATAATTTGGTTTATGAGAGATTATGATTCAATATTTTAAAGCATTTCTGCTAGAAGGACTTTTTGTGAATAATATTACTTCTCATGGTGGAATATCGCTTTCCACGTGCTCATATGCTTAATTTTTTTTATATTTAAGACAGGATTTACAACAAATGGTATCATATGTAAGCTTTATCTCGTTATTTAGTATTCTTCCAATTATTCAACCATATTTTGATGTATCTAAACAAATCTCTTTTCTTTAGAGTTTCTTAAATGCAACTAGCCGTTAAACGCACTTGTTGAATTTTAGTATACTATATGCTTAAATCATCCTGTAATTGTAAATTTACTTTTTATTCTCAATATATTGTGCAGTAAAACTGTTATGTTTTGAAGAATGATTTTAGATCATTTTTAGCATAGGTTTATTCTTGAAATAAGGTATGATTTGATTAAAGTTGATGATTTTAAACTGATTTTATTAAATATTTACAATTTAAATTTCGTACCGAATGTCTTATAAAGTTAAGTATTATAGCATCACTCCATGTTCTACCTATACTTTAATGAAAATGCATTTTAGTATACTTATTAAAATAAAATTATTGAAAATAAGTATTTTAATATAATATTTATTTCCAAGCCAAACTTTAAGAACAGAATAAAAAAAAATATTTGAAGATATGTATACTAACCGTAAATATTTTAAAAACAACTTTTGAAAGAAATTGATTTATATATTTCCATACAGCTAAAAAGAAAATTTTTAAACCCTACGTCAGTCACTGGAGAGGAAAGGGGATAAAATTTAAGTTCCATCTACAGATAATCCACATTCCTTTGTTTAAACATGCAGATAAACTTTAAGTAAATGCAATGTAATCACCCAAAATGCAAAGAATGGAAGACGTTGATAAATTCTTGAGTATTTAATTCAATCCCACGCATTAAGGAGAAGCTTTTCCAGAAAACTCTTAACATGATAGGAACTTCAGATAGATAAGGAGATTAGATTCTTGGCAGGTTTCTTTATTCTTCATTTAAATGGACAGCAATTTTTTTTAAAACAAATATAGAAAGGATCTATTCACTGCTATGCTATAAAAAGTGCGGCGCAATATCTATTCGATTTTGGCGTTGAAAACTCGAAAAAATATGTCAAGGAATACTTTGTTTTAAACTAATACAGAATCGAGCATTCATATAGGGGAGTGTTGGGTACCCCCGCCCACTATCAATTTCATATGTATAGAATATTTTTTCAAATCAATGAGCCATCGGACATTAATTGTTATATTAAAGAAAGATTATTTTCAAAGTTTCAAGTATTTATGCAGCTGTTAACATGGTAAACAATAGTTTTGAAAATATGTTGACTACAGTAGTCATGAAATTAAGAAAAATTGGTTGAATGTTTCGATTAAACTTCATTTTAATACTAAAAAAATAATTTTTTCTATACATACAGCATTAAAGTATGTAGTCTTAAGTTTAATTTGCACAGAGAAAGAAGTTTGTATGTGAAAAATTGTTCGAGTAATTACAAATTTGCAAAAAAATTGGATTTCGAGTGGAAATGCTCACATGAATCTCGGGTATCACCGCCCAATTTTATTTCGTCGATAAATGTACGGTTGCAAAGATTATTTTTTTATTGCTTCAAATTTGAATGTTATATGCATTTTTAACAACAAATATTGTTGTTATAAATGATTGTTATTAAATGATAGAATTCACTAAAAGTATATAAATATGTAATAAATAAAATTATTTTGTGATAAAAATGATAAATGAGGCTTATCTATTGTCAATACATTGGTCATTTTTATTTACACCTGAAAAAACAGTCAAAAAACGTAATTTTTGTAACTGGGCGGGGCTACCCGACACATTTTGAAAAAAGCTGAAAAACATGTTTTTTTAAATTTCTATTTTTTTAAGTTAAACTATTCTCTTTTTGGATTATTCTTTTTGCATTATTTTATTAGATGATAAAACAATAGAAACATACAAAAATATTGATTATTACTCAATATTGTACAGAAATACAAGCAATACTCCTTAAATGGGTGGGGCTACCCGACTCTCCCCTACACTTTAAAGGCTGCAACTAAATATGAACACCAAGAACTAATGAAGCTTACACAAAGCTCAGACGCATCTATTTCATTCATGAAATATTTTCAGCAATTTTGGCGTACGTTTGGAAACCATCGGAATTTATACTTTAATGTTTTGTATTCCATAAAATTAAGAAATCTACAATAAATTTAAAGCAATTAGATCCATTCATCAATCGCTAAAAGGCATAAATAACAGGAAATCACGATGATTTGCTTCTTTTTTTCGTAAAAGCTTACAACCCCTCTTATTGTGAGGATTTGATACAGAAAACAGGGAAAATGATTTAGAAGTGAATAATAACTAATCAATAAAAAAGTTACAGAAAATGGATAATTTTATACACAGTAAAGGTACAGGGCCAAATCAAAATGACACTCTATCCTATACTCTAATTTCTCTCTATAGATATAGTGTCTGATGTAAAATATGACAAGAGAAAAAAATATGGTCAATTTTTTTCTCTTTCAGAAAATACGTGTTAGAAAATGCAGGCTTAAGAAGTATATCACAAAGGAGGCAAGAGAGTTGCTATCTTTAGATTGTCCTTGCAAGAATTGTTCTTCATTTACCGTTTTGAAAATTTATTTTTCTATTATTCAGTTCTCGCTACATAGTTCATCATTGCAACAGTAGTACAAAACCAGTGATCGGAAGAACCGAGATGTAGGTTGTGAAACTACTTTAATCGCTATTTCTTTTCGTAGTTTGTAGTGTAGTGTGCTACTTTTTAAAAAGTAGTGTAGTGTGTAGTGTGATATAAAAATATAGTAGTTTGTAGCAATTCCTGGCAATTACTTTTTACGTTAGTTTAGTATATGAACAAGAATTCTAACACAGCTAATTTTTGGAAATTTGATTTTTAGCACAAATCTTCGTGTGTCTGTCAGAGGAAGCAATTTTAAATGTCCCTGTTACTGTGAGTGAACAAGAATTGTATATTTAGAGTCGCGTATAACTAATATTTAAGTTAGCCATTATGAGTAATAGATAATTCATTACTCGCTCTTTCACATGCGAATATACACTCGTAAGACAGTGATGTTATTTCAAGGGAAGGAAACGTATATTTTCGATGTACTTAATTTCTTAGAGACAATAAAAGAGCATTAACGAAATTGCAAGTATTTGATAATTTCCTATCATCTCTTAAATTAAATATTCGCTGTCAAGAAGGGCATAAAAAGTTGAAGACTAAATGAACACATTCGAAAACAATGCTTTAGAATAACAAAATGACTAATTTAAATATAAATAAATATTTCTAAATAATTCTTCATGTTTAATGTAAGCCAATTTATTCAAAACCATTTTGAACATGACGTGTAAATTAATTTCTCCAGCTAAGTTTGGTTCCTTAAAGTAGCAAAGCAGTCACTGCAATTCCAAAGCAGTTTGTAGTCACTACATTTAAAAAAAGTAAAGGGTTATTCATAATTCCCTCCGCCTGTAAAAGCCATTTTTCGCTACTACAACTGTTTGCAGTGGTACATGTTACTGCCATCTACCGGTAACTGCTTAAATTAAAACTTGAATACTTTCGGAATAATTTATATGTTCTTTTTTGCCATATTCGTCTTCGTTTATTTACTATAACGCTTCGAAACCTCGGAGGGAATTATGAATAACCTTGCAGTTGTTGTTATATTCATTTGTAACGAAGTAATTGTAAATGTAATGAACTGCGAAAATAATGAAGTTTTTCCAACAACTGTACTAAATTATACTCTTTGTAAACAGAATAGGCATTTCAAGGTCACCCGATTTCTTCACTCCCTACACTTTTGATTCTCTGCAACCATGGTGTTGGCAAATCTTGCTTTTCTACTGCAGTACGTTTCCGTAAGAAGTTGAAAAAAAACTGATATGAGAAAAAAGCGAATCTTGCTGAAAACCTAGAAACAAAGGGGAGAAAATATGGAAAGGGAGCATATCGCGAGACTTTGAAACGCCCATTCTATTTGTAACGAGTAAAATAAACACCATAATTATTGTTGTCATTTTATTCATATTGACTACCTTCTTCTTCAGTTGTAATGTTGATGACGGCACTGGGCTTGCTTTGTCCAATAGCGTTCTCGGAGAGAACTCTTACGAAATACAAAGTGACTGGAGTGAGTGCTCGAAGAGTCGCGCTATTTTCTGCTCCAGACACAATCAGCTGCGACGTCTGCCCGTTCCAATGAGTATCTGAAATGACACGCATGATTTCTTTTCACAAAATTTAATATGCCTCTATTAACTACGTCAGTCGTCGGTGACTAAAACTGAACTTTTCGTTTCGGCCAGGTCCGTCACCGATGACTGGCAGTGTACATAATTTAAAGCAAAATATCGGATAAAACTAAACATTTATATAATTTTAAGTAATTATTGAAAATTTAATTCAAATGTCCTGAATTTGCATTAAATACAAATCAAATTTGTCTTTATTTTAATCTGTTAGAGGTGAAATTCACAGTGTTACATACTTGACGCGTGACGTCCAAAGTGTTAATAAAGTGTTCTAATAATTTTTATGACAAGAAAATATATTTAAAAAAATAAGACAGTTGATGTTAGCACAAATGAACTAAATAATCAGGGAACAATACATTTTATGAAGTACTTTTTTTAAAATCAATGTTATATAATTTTTAAAATTACATCTAAAAATTTTAATTTCCTAAACTGGAAAAAATAGATCCAATCTTTTCAAAATACAACTTTAAGTGTGAAACTAATAAACTTCAAATTCCAAAACTTAATGACTTAAAAAATCATTTTAGAGTCATAAAATTATGTGAGGGGGACGTGTGCTACATTGCACGAAATATTTACAGAATTCAATCGGAAATCATTTTATATACATTAGCTCTTACTTTACATAAATTATTTATAGTATCGCATTATTTTATTAAAATTAGGGTAAGTAAATGTTACAGGATACTTCCATTTGAGTTCAATGCTCTAAAACCAAAAAAAGAATGTACAATTATTTGGTTACGGATTTTCGCTTTAAGCAATAAAATCAGTTAAACAAAATAAATGAATAAGCATCAATGCATTAAAGAAGAGAAGTTGCTTTAAAATCATGTGATTATAATTTATATTTATGAATTATTATTTTACATTTATAAGTTCAGCATTGCCAGACAAGAAAAATTAATTCACATAAAAAAAATTGAAACTTGGTTAAGATTCTGAAATGTTGTACCAAGTATTTATCAAGGCTTAAAAACATTTTTAAAGTATTGTTTATAATTTATTGGATTACTAAAATTCTAGAAAATCGGATATTTTGTCAAGATTTCTGTAAAACTTCTAAACTACGATCAGAAAAAATAAGTACTTTTCATACCAGACTACAATTTTATAGCATAAAAATATACTTATAATTTAAGATCAAGGGTCAGAATGCTTATGTCCTTAAAGCTGATTCTGAAATATAGGAGCAATTTGTGCTGATAAGAACCCCAGCACGGCTCCTCTTCACTGTGTAATAGTTCTCGAGAAAAATCGATTTTTCACATTACTAATTTGTCATATCTTCAAGATGGTGATTCAATCACCATCTTGGTCTCCTGAAAAACTGCCATAGACCATTATCTGCCTTTGATCGTTCATCGTTAAATATTTTTCTAATGGTTAGAGCTATTTTTATTTACAGTATTTAAATATCGATATAAAAGAAAGAAATATAATTATAAATTACCTGATAATGTTTGATATTGAACAATACTTCCTGTAATATGGCTGTTTCCGTTATGAGCTACATCCCAAATCAAGCTCACAGATCTGCTGGTCGTGTTGGTCACTGTCACGTTAGATGGAGCGTCTGGAAAACCTATGAGAAAGACAATATATATATATATATATATGCACACACACATAAATCTTGAAATAAGCGACCAGTTTGTTACGATCCCCCTGAAAATTATATGAGAATGAGCTATTGCGTCACAGCTGGTTTGCTTCAAGATATTTCATGTGCCAGTTCGTGTAGCCTGAATCATACAAATCATACAAAAATTATACCATGCAAAAGAATCATACAAAGAATATAGAACGAATATATATGAATCATACAAATATGAACCATACAAAGAATAGAAGAAGAAATCATACAAAAAAAGTTTCTGATCAAATAACTAAAGTGTTAATAATGATAGGTTACTTTTAAGAAGAAATTGCATCCTATCATACTACTTTTACTGCAACAAAATTGATTTGAGGAAGATGATGGAGACTCCATTTGTCCCTGTCAATTTCTAGATCTTAAGCTTGTTCGGCGTTTGTGGGATGAAGTCGAAAAAGTCTAGAAGCTCAAACGTCGAGACTCAAACTATTGCTCATGATTTTCTTTCTAATGAACTATAAACATCTCTTAGACTCGATTTCGGGAGGAATCAATGAAGTATTAAAAAGGGGAAAAAAGATAGTTAGTTGACACATTCGTGTTTATTTTGCTAGTAATAAATGGAAATCAAAAAGATTCTAGTTGAAATAGGGTACACGAAGAATCATTTTTCAACGTTTTCTAATTCTTGCACTCTTAAGAAATTTTTGCAAAATTCTCGGGTAAGACAGAGCGACGAACCAATCAGACCGCTCTTAACTTCAGTATGAACACACCTTAAAAAAATTATCTGACTATCCCCAATTACGCTTAAATTTCATATTTTGAAATCTGGCAACTTAGTTATAAAAATATCTAAAGACATTTTTGCAAGTTGGTCGTAAGCATCGACAATGATGATTTTTTTTTTTTCATTTTTCAAAATGAATTTGGATTTGTTATTCCAAGAGGTCCTAACTTTAGTTGTATTTGTTTTGTGTTCCTTTGCAAATTTCAATTCGATCATCCTATTGTTTGTTCGGAAAAGAAGTTTTTTACAGAAACCTGTAGGAACTATGTTCAAAACCACATACTTTGCGCGGTATTCCTCTTCTTTAGCTTCTGAGCTATAGGAACACTATTGTGTGAGAAATTATTACATGCATTTAAGTTAACTATTGAAAACATAAATTGTGTTAGACAGTCTCAATAAAAAATTCTCTTTCAAACACTAGTTTGCTGTTTGTTAATCACATAGTCGCTTTGGTACATACCCGAAATATATACTAGGTCTAGTCAAGTGCCACTGCCCGATATAAATTTGTCCAGTATGCCCTACATCAATGTTTTTATAAGGTCATGTGCCCCTACCCAG